AACAAATCACATTGGGTTTATGTAAAAAACTATTGTTCAGCCAAATTATTTAGTCTACATGGATTATTTAAAGTATATTGTATATTTATCTCTTTCAGACTCTTCTTGAAAGTGTTCCTGGGAAAAGTCTGACAGAAAAGCTACAGAATGTCTGGGTCAGGATGCAAACCCACGTGAACTGTGTAGTGGACAGTGAATTAGATAAAATGTCCACTGATAAACACCCAGGAATAAAACAGGTTAGAGTCAGGAAAAACCAATGGAGCATTATCTAGTTTAATTGTTTTTGGATAAAATTCTTATTTACAGGAGGTGCACTATTTTCCCATAACAAAATGTATATTCAGTCCATTTTTCTAAAAAAAAAAATGGTGAGGTAAAAATTTGAAATCATTTTCCTTATAATTGTTCTAGATGTTAAGCTGCCAGCTTATATGAATCATAAACGATATTTCTAGTTACTTGAGAAGAAGGAGGGTCTGTTTAGGAAGCACATGATGGGGAAGAGGGTGAACTATGCTGCTAGATCTGTCATCTCACCAGACCCTTATATTAACACTGATGAGATAGGGATACCGATGGTGTTTGCTCTTAAACTGACCTATCCTCAGCCGGTCACTCCTTGGAATGTCCAAGAGCTGAGGCAAGCTGTCATCAATGGACCAAGGCAACATCCTGGGTAAGGAACTGCAGTGGAATGGAGCTGCAGATGATGCTGAATTCCATACAGTTATGAAGTGAAATACTTCAGAATTGTGATTTCAACCAATGGGCCATTTTTTTTTCACTTAAAATTTCATTTCAAATTGTTTTAAACTGTTATAATTGTTAGGCCTATGAAAGGAAATATATGGATGAATATATATTAAAAAAACGTGATGGAATGCATTCAAAGTTGTCTTATTACATATCATATATTATCTATCAGCTGATATGATCTGGTGTTGTAGTGCTGTATTTGCTGAAAATGAAACTTATAATTGTTAGGCCTATTAAAGGAAATGTATTGATTGAAAATATTTAAAAAACATGACAGAATGGATTTAAAATTATTACATTTCATGTATTATCTATAAGCTCATATGATCTGGTGTTGTAGTGCTGTATTTGTTGAGAATGAAGATGGTACCAGGATCATGTTGAACCCCACAGATGTCAGACAGAGGGAAGCCATAGCCAAGGAATTGCTGACACCAAGCACATTTTATCATGGACCCCCAGAGAGCAAGAAGGTAAACTGGGCAACAGCCATAAGTCTTGTGTCAGTAATGTATTTGGATCAATTACAGAAATAATTCTCATGCCAGGAAATGATAACACATTTTGTTAGGGGGCTGGCAATTAATAGTTCTGTAATTTAGGACAGACGTGTCAGCAGCTAACTTGATTTGTTGAAAATGATGCTTTGGAAATTAATTTTAATATATTTAATGTGTCAAATGAAAATTTATTATTACAGGTGCTACGGCATTTAAAGAATGGAGATGTTCTGTTGTTAAACAGGCAGCCCACTCTTCATAGACCAAGTATACAGGCACACAAGGTACTTAAGTCAAAACAAGATAATCATGAGTGTTATTTTTTAAAATGATAGTTATGGTGTTAGGTTTGTTAACTCAGAAAAATATAATCTACATACACTTTTACGTAAAGATCATGTGTCATACATGCATGTTATTTCCAGGCCCGTGTGTTGCCAGCGGAGAAAACATTACGTCTTCATTATGCCAACTGTAAGGCCTACAATGCTGACTTTGATGGAGATGAAATGAATGCTCACTTTGTCCAAGATGAGATAGCCAGGGCTGAGGCTTACACAATAGGTAATCTCACACACATCCTCTTGTTTGAATTTTTGTATTTTTTTGTTTGTCATCATAACATATGATCCATTTTTTGTTACACTTTAATTATGGCTACCTGTAAACATTTAGAATATTTGATATGTTTCCAAAAGTTTTTCCATACATAGTTTCCTTGTATTTTAGCCAGCACCAACTTCCAGTACTTGGTCCCCAAAGACGGGACACCACTTGCTGGCCTGATTCAAGATCACATGGTCTCTGGTGTGATGCTTACTATGAGAGGGCGGTTCTTTAGCAGGTGAGTGATAGGTCACATAGTCTTTGGCATGATGCTCACAATGAGATGGATGTTCTTTAGCAGGTGAGTGACAGGTTGCAGTCTTTGGCATGATGCTCACAATGAGAGGGAGGTGCTTTAGCAGGTGAGTGACAGGTCACATAGTCTTTGGAATGATGCTCACAATGAGAGGGAGGTTCTTTAGCAGGTGAGTGACAGGTCCGGTACAAGATCATGTGGTCTTTGGCCTGATGCTCACTGTTAGAGAGTGGTTCTTTAGTAGGTGAACAGCAGGTCAGGTACAAGATCACTTTGTCTTAGATGAGGTGCTGGATCATCCCCTTCCATAGTAACCAATGTTTATTTAATATAAATAAATCATTTATTCATGACTGTCAACCTGATACTGAGGATTGTAAATTATGTACAGCTTTTGTTTAAAGCACATGAAATAATCAGTTTACCAGACTTGTTATGATATCTTTATTTCAGAGGGGACTACCAGCAGCTTGTATATGCCGCACTTACAGATCAATATGGACCAGTGAAGATGCTGAGACCAGGGATGATAAAGCCAGTGAAATTGTGGTCAGGAAAACAAGTAAGTCATCACCATCTCTCACCGTGATAGATATTTTAAATACTAAAATACGTAACATATTATCTAGGATTAACTATAGATTAGAAAATGCTTAAAATTTTTTTCTTTGGGTGGATGGGGGTAAATTTCTCTATTTAAAAAACCAGGTTTTCTCCTGGAAGAAGTTATTTTTTACATTTAAAAATGTAGTTTATTCAAAGAATCATTTGTTTCCCAGGTCCTCTCTACTGTGCTGCTGAACCTGATTCCTGAAGGCAAACCAGCTTTGAACCTGCATGGCAAAGCAAAGATAGCCGGCAAGGTGAGAATTTCCCCTATTTGGATCTCCTTTTTTCTCTTGAAAACTGCCTCCTCTGTTAACCGTACCAAGCATTACTTGTAATACAAGAGGGGAAGCATACAAATTAATATTTAGCGTTAAAATGCAGTCAACCTTTCCATTTGTTTTACAACAACTCACCTTTGTAATGGGTATGTGACTGTTATTAAAAACAATTCTGCATTCAACTCTTTTTTGAACAAATGAATTTTTTTATTTGTCAAGAAAAAATAAGTTTATTTGTAATATAAGGACCTAAACATGACCTATGATATGAACCAAACTGATTTCTTCAGAACTGGTTAGCTGGTCAGCCAAGGGCATGGTTGGCCGGAGGACAAGCCCTGAAGGATGAGTCCATGAGTGAATCTGAGGTGGTCGTCCGGTCAGGAGAACTGCTGTGTGGGGTACTGGACAAGGGGCACTATGGACCCACACCATATGGTTTAGTGCACTGTTGCTATGAGGCAAGTACGGATGGGACTATGTAATAGCATTGTGTGATTAATGTCAAATAGCTGTCCATTTTGTGCATGTTGGAATGTTTTGTTACTTGAATAATGTAACTTCCTCATCTTAGTACTGTCTTCTTGCTACAAACATGCAACATGATAATGCACAGGGACGTTCTTCTAATGTCTTCTCTTTTCACAGATAAGTACAATACTAATATAGAATGACATGTCTTTTCTTTTTGTAGCTATATGGAGGAGTAGTGGCCTGCAAACTGTTGACAAGTTTAGCCAAACTCTTTACAACCTTTCTTCAGCAACATGGGTTCACTTTAGGCCCTGAGGATATTTTGGTGACTCCACAGGTAAATAAGTTGAATCAAGGTGTTGCGTCTAAGAAGATGTTAATGTTGCTCTGTCCTTATTCTTTTTACTTTAAGTGCTATCAGCTGATGACTGCTGTGAATATATTTGAAGATAAAGTATTGTATTTAAAAAAAGATAAATATTCAAGACTTTTCTCTTCCCCTCTCTCGTAGGCTGACGTGAAGAGAAAGAAGAATGTGGATGCCTCTCGGCTGTGTGGGGATGAGGCAGCAGCCAAAGCCATGGGTGTAGATTCCCCAGACGACACTAAAACCCTGCTGCAGAAGTTAGAGAAAGCACATTACAACAAAGATGGCCGCCACATGATGGAGCTAGACCTGGCCATGAAGCAGAAAACAGATGAATATCAGAATAACATAGCAAAGTGAGATTGTGTTATAGTGACTCTATGCATAAATGTGTAATATTATAT